TTTTTTTTTTTTTATTAGATCTAATAGATCCTAGATTCCTCTTTCCATCTCCAATATTCCATGATTCTAATAGAGATGGAAGAAATGGACTAGAGATCTAACATTCTGTGAATCCAAGAACTGCAAGAGTTCACTCCATTTCCCAAGAGGACAAGAGTTAAACTTTTCAACATGAACACCTAGGCTTCTATGACTTGGCCTCCACTGACCTTCCAACCACATCTCTCATCCCTTCCCCAGACTCCAGCCACTCCCGTCTCACGTGCACTTTCCACAAAGTTTTACTCCCACTCATTCTGTGCTTTGGTATAGGCACAGTGCCTTCTTCCTGGAATGCCTCCTAACCTAGCCTTTTTCTTCTTGAGTCACAGCTTAAAGGTCTCCTCCCCAGTGAAGCCTCCCATGCCCCCTCACCCTTGCAGCAGCTGCAGTAGCTGGTGTGCTCTCTCACACTGAATACTGCCTGCCTGTTAACATACAAGGAATAGAACTGTGATTCATGAAGGCAGCAAACCCAAACTGCCCAGGGATCAGGCAGGGGAAGTAAAGGTGTGAAGTCAACAGGTATTAAAAAAAAACAACACTAGCCTGTGTTTTCTCACCTGTTGAGTACAGAATCAAGTCTCTCCCTACCTCCCTAAATACATATTGAATTCCTAATCCCTTTCTTTCCAAGTCCCTGTAAATATGATCCTGTTTGGAAACAGAGGTTTTCTTTTGTTATGTTAATGAGGTCCCAGAGGAGTAGGATAAATCCTAAACCTAATTCCTTCTGAGTGGTGTTTTATAAAGAGCAGAACAGACAGCAGCACAACCAGGGTTAACAGACCATGTGAGAAACCATCTTCAAGCCAAGGAGTACCCAGAAACACCAAAGAGGACCACCTGGGGCTACTGACACAGAAAGATGCCGCTGCCCTGATTTGGATATCTAGCCTCCCAAACTGCGGAGGTTTTCTAAATAATCAAATGGTTTTCTTTAAACCACCTATTTGTACAGGAGCACTAGGTAACTAGGACACCACCTCTGACAAGAAAATAGAAAGGCAGCTTTAAGGAAAACAACAACCTGAGAGCCATAGTAAATGCCAGAATTCTGTTTCAGGGAACAATAGGGATTGGTGGGAATTGAGGCCAACTGGAGCAGTCTCGTGTCCGGGAAGGAAAGGAACTTTACTCTGCTCCAACTGATTGTTGACCTGTAGAAATGTGGGTCCAGTATGGCCATTTCTTCCACCTTTTCAAGAAAAGGTGGATATCCAGGCTTACATGTGAAATCTCATTTTTACATGTTACTAGCTGATTTTAAAATATTAAAGACTGACTAGAAAAATTAAGGGCGCTCTGGTAGCATAGCGCCTAAGGCACTTGACTGCTAACCAGAAGGCTAGCGGTTCAAACCCACCAGCCACTCCTCGGAAGGAAGATGGGGCAATCTACTTCCGTAGTGATACTGCCTTGGAAACCCAAGGAGGGGTCGCTGTGAGTCGGGTCCGACTCGACGGCACATAACAACAACAGAAAAATTAAAGCTGATTTAAAGAAAATTAAATTTTAAATAGTTAAAATTATGTGGTGGCAGTTGCTAGGTGCTCAGCTGCTAAACAAAAGGCTGGCTGTTCGAACCTACCAGTGGCTCCATGGGAGAAAAAATGTGGCAGTCTGCTCCCATAAAGATTTACAGCCTTGGAAACCCTATGGGGCAATTCTATTCTGTCCTATAGGGTTGCTAGGAGTCAAAATTGACTCAACAGCAATGGGTTTGGTTTCGTTTTGATATGATGACTTTCAAGGTTTTCAGGCTGTAGAAACTGAGGACTAACTTCTACCTATTCTAATTATCTGAGGGAGCACATCCTATGGGAGGGTCACTGTGTGCTAATAGTTGTTAAATATGTCCACCCATCCTGCACAAGGCTGGGAAAGACTTCCAGGAGGATACAGAGCCTTTCAGATAGTTCTCTGTCCTTCTCTGGGCCTCAGTTTCTCTAGCTATAAAATGAAGGTACAAAACCTATTTGTGAGTCAGCTGTCAAACAGAATACATTACCATTTACTGCAGGGCAGTCAGAGCTACAAGCTTGCATTATCTTGTTAAATTCTGAATACCTTCAGGAGCTAGGTTCTATTATGTACACATTTTGCAGATAAGAACATGGTAGCTCAGAGAGAGCAAGCAATTTACTTAATGAAAAGAACTGATTTTTAAAATTCCTTTCTTTCCAAGTGTTTTACTCAGTTAATCCTCCCAACAACTCTGAGAGCTATGTGCTATTACCGCCTGAGGCCAAGAAGCAAATAAACCCTGCAATGGTTATTTGATCAAGGCATCTTTAACTCCAACACTGCTTAGCGCTGTTGAACAGAAATGCTGTAGTCACATTAAAAACGTAAAAAGGAACAGGTAAAATTAATACTAATAATATATTTTATTTGACTCAACATATCCAAAATACTGGAATTTCAACATGCAATCAGTATAAAGTTGAGATATTGTACATTATTTTTTCATACTAAATCTTCCAAATCCAGTCATTTACATTACAGCACATCTAATTTGTGCAATCACAGTTCAAGGACTCACATGGGGTTACATACATGGTGTTAGTGGTCACAGTACAGAGGAACACTGTAGTCCGCTCACTAATCCTAAAGTTGAATGCAGAAACTACAATGGCACGTGCCCTTGGTTTCAGGGGACACCCCCCAAAAAAATACTGGCAAAGAGTTCGTGAGCATTTACTCCGTGTCAGGAGTGTGTTGAGGATCTTACTTACACACGTTATATTTGTCATTCTCTTAATGAGGCCGGTGCTTTTGCCCCCCTCGTTTGACCGATGAGGGACATATGAAGGAAAGACGTTTGGGGGTGTGAGGCGAGGTTTGGACTACAACCCACACAGCCCTCCTAGAGCCAGCCTCTCCCCAGCCTGCTTTCCTGCACCCCCTTAATGGCGCGGAGCGGCATACTCCGAATTAAGGTCAAGTGAGGGGGCGTGCCCTCGGGGGCTGGCGCGGGTCACCTGCAAGACGAAGGGGTCAAAGAAGCTAAGGATTCCAGTCGAGACGTCCACGTCGTCACCTTCGGGCTCCTTCTTTACTTTCTCTTCTTTCTGCTTCTGCTCCTTCTCCTTCCGAAACTGATGCTCAGTGGGGCCATTAGCGAACTGAACGCCGCGCATGCTTACATTGATTTGCGACTACAGCTCTGGCCTGAGGTAACTCGCAAACGCGAGGGGGCGCCGCTCCCTCGAGCAGGGACGAGACTTCCCCAGACCTGATCATAGAGAACCCTGAGGAGACTTCCGCTTCTGGCCTCCCAAGGCGCCTCGCTGAGACAGGTAGGCTCCCCGCGCTCCCGGGCCGTCCCCCGACCGCCTTCCTCGGGGGTCGCGCGGACTCTACCCTTTAGCCGGAACCGTTTCCCTCCCCATCCCTGCGCAGACGCAGTGCTGAGTCAATAGCTGCCGGACAAAGAGTGACGCCCAGAGCCGGAGTCATGGCGGCAACAGAGGAGATCTTGGCGGCCATTGGGGCGTCTGGGAGCCCCGCAGCGCCGCCGGAGAAACAGGATGGAGCCGGCCCGAGCTCGTACCCGGGACGTAGCTCTGCAGGTTCCTTTTCGATTCCAGGGGCCTCACCGCCCGTCCCTGAACCCACTAGCCCCAATGCCGCCGTCCCCGATGCCATCCCTACACCTCCCGTGGCAGCTTCCGCGCCCCTGGCCGATGCCGCTCCGCGCTCCCTACCGGGCCCTGGATACTCCCGACCCGGCCCGGAGACGTTCCGCCAGCGCTTCCGGCAGTTCCGATACCAGGACGCGGCAGGCCCGCGGGAGGCATTCCGGCAGCTGCGGGAGCTTTCTCGTCAGTGGCTGCGGCCCGATATCCGCACCAAGGAGCAGATTGTGGAGATGCTGGTGCAGGAGCAGCTGCTCGCCATCCTGCCCGAGGCAGCGCGGGCCCGCCGGCGGGGCCGCCGCACCGATGTGCGCATCACGGGCTGAGCGGCGGAGTTGCGTGCGGCCCGGCCGCTCTCTGTGCTCGCGGGGCCCCTGATCTGGTCCGGGGCCCTGGACCTGGGTCCCCACCCTACGTTAATGAAAAACGAGTTTTGGCAGCTCCTGTAGTCTGGTGTGCCTCTTTCGTTCGTCCTTTTACTGACTTTATGTTCTTAATCCTATTTTCTACCACCTTTCAGGCTAGTGGCAGAACCAACTTGGGAGCGCAGGGATAATAAGGTCTTTTCTATTTCCTGGGCCGTTGTTGGCTTTTGTGGAATTCTTACGTGTTTGATTAAACCTGGGCTGATCCCACCATCTATCTGGGAAGTTTTTCCTGCACTTCTCAGGGTCCCATCCGCGTTTCCTTTGTTGAATGGTAGGCTATGTATGGAGTCCGGCAGCCTGGGTACCATTTCCGTCTCTGCTTCTTAGAAGCTAGAGTCTGATCTTGTTTTTTCACCTGCAAAGAGGTGACAGTGATAGGTCCTGCCTCCTGGGTTGTGGAATCCTGCAAAATGCTTCGTAACTGGCTACCTTTGTACCAGTACAGCCACCGACGTATTATGTACTTCCCACCCTTTGGACAAAGGTGTCCCAAAAAGCTTGAGCTACTGGGCTATTTAAATGTGAAGTGTTTTATCACAGGCTCAGACAGATTCCTTAACCTCCTTCCTCGCCTATTTTAGAACTCTGGTAAGATGTAAGAAGCACTCTGGTAAGATGTAAGAAGCAAAACTGGTGTGAACCAATAGCTTCTTTAAATTGCTAGAGCCACTCATTTTAATGAGTATCTCTACAACTGGCTCTTTGAAAAACAGGCATAGTTATTTAGAAAGGGAGGACGGAATTCTGTAATTGGGAAGCTCTGCTCTGAAATCTTAAAAGGTGCTCTTAGCTCTTCGAGGCTTCTGCCCCCCCCCCCCAGGATCACATTAAATAGCATAGTGGGTAAGGCACTTGACTGCTAACCAGAAGGCTGGCGGTCCAAACCCACCAGCCACTCCTTGGAAGGAAGGTTGGGCAATCCTACTTCCGTAGTGATACTGCCTCGGAAACCCAAGGAGGGGTCGCTATGAGTCGGTCCGACTCGACGGCACATAACAACAACAAGGCAGCTTGGATTGGTCCCAAAAAGGTCTTAATTGCAATGGGTGCCTTCTCAATACCAGGAAGGCCAGACCAATCCCCGCATTGCTTTCAACAATCAAAATTTAGTAAGTCTGCAGCCAGCACCACAAGCAAGAACCAGACTAAACTAGAGGCTCGTGTGAGGTGTTTTGCTTTTGAGTATTATTAAAAATATTTGCATACTTTCTTGGAATCTTCAGCTTTCATCTGCCTCCCTGAAAAAGGTAATCTGTTCAGAATATAAAAGCAGACTTTTATAAAGTAATGCTTATAGAAAAGTAATGGTAATGATTATTACAAAGAGTGTAGATCTTCATAATTGAATAACATGTAACTGAAACATAGCAACAAAAACCTGTTTTATTTTTTCAAATACAGTTTTCATGTTTTGCAAATATTGCTTCAAAGCAACATCCCTATATACAGCGCCTTTCTGTTCTAATAGCGCGTAAACATAGATACGTATCCACAGTGCAATGTTGGCTCATCAAGGGTCCACCTTGCATACACTCATCACTTAAAATAATTAGTCAGACAAGAATTGTTTTTAATCAAGGCAATTTTTGTAGGTGGATAGTATAAAACTTAGGTAGTGCACATGTTTCTAAATGGTAACAGTAATGTTTGCAAGTAACAGTTTCCAGTGCTCAACTTGGGGTTAGTTTATCTTGACCTAGGAATTGGGGATTGAGCCCCTCAACATGGCTTTAAATTAGGGAAGAACACTGAGGTCAGAACTTGGGGAGTCCTCCCTGCTTCCCTAAGGGCAAAAGTCACAACGGGTAAAACAATTACTTCCTTTATAGACCTTAAACAATGAACCTATGATGGCCACTTGGCAAAAGTAGGGTAATCCAATTTCTGCTTTCTTTCAAAATATGAAATTGGTTACCTTAGAAGTTTCAGCTTCCTCAGATGTGATATTCAAATGTATTTTCACAAAAGAAAAATCAGTAATCTTATAATACAACAGTTACACCTCACAGTTGTGGCTACAGAACTACACCCTTTTTCAGACAAATGTCACAAAGTTCTTAAAATGTGCTGCTGTCTGATTAATGATCCAAAACAGAGGTGCTCTTGAGTGTGTCTTTCCACACCAGAAAAACCAACATTAGCAATGGAAACAGCTTCCTGTAGAGAAACTGTCAGCTTTATTCCAGATGTTACAGCCGCATGTATTCCCTCTGATGGATAAGCTAGAGTAGGTCCATTTTTACTTGTCCCATAATTAATTTTATACCAAATGGTGAACAATTCATTAGAGTATTCCCTCAAACAGATCTTAGTACAGAGGCCTTCCCAATAAAAGGTGGCTTATAGCCTAACTATTCCAAAGATCCCTGGAGATACTGTCATTGCTATGAGATATTGGCTACTTCATGTTTACACAGTAAATGTTTGCAGCATTTACATTACAGATTCATAAACCTATAACTGTGAATGTTACTGGACAACTGTGCTTTGATTTTTGCCTTCAGTGATAGTAAGAAAACTAAATAGTGTAATGGATCACTCCTCAAAGCATGGAACATTTTTCTTTCACTTTGCCTACTAGTAAGGAAACACCAGGAAGGGGGAAAAAAAAATTACACGTGGAACCGTAACCAGCAACAGTAACACAAATATTGTCTTATAAGGTACAAATTATGTTGTATCTGGACATTAAGCAGCATGATCACCTTGATCTCACAAAATAATACAAACAGGAAATTTAAAATGTTAAAGTATATTAACAAAACAATTCTGAAAATGCTGACTACTGCACATACCCACCAGGGAGAAAAGCGGCACATGTAGATTATGAAGTTTGTTTATAACAATATAAAAGAAGGTAATTCCCCAAACCACATTCATTATAACAAATCTTTATAGTGAAAATTCAAAATTTGGGGAAGCATTTTATGGACATTAAATAGAACTGGGAAGCTGTCAATATTAAGAACTGAGTAGAAAATGATGTCCTGTAGGTTCCAGACTCTGCCTGCTTCAGTTTGAAATTTGCCCTAGATTCTTTCACAATGAAATTCTAGTTTCTCCACAGGCTATATGGGCTCTGCTGCAAAAGACACAACCCAGCCAACTCTGAGGTGAAAGCATACAAAACTTGTCCCTGGTACCATGAAGTCATGCAAGAGATGTGAGGAAAGTGACGAGTCCTAATGAGAAGGTAGGGCAGCCAAGGCCTGTGCTTTTGCCCCACTGCCACAAAATGGTAGTCCTGTTGACATTCCCATGAAGCTGGAAAATGAAAATGATGCCTGCTGACTAAACACCATGCCAGACAGAAACCAGAAGGGTTGGCATGTGCCCCAACCTGACAGAAAAGTCTATTAAATAAGCTGCAAATTGAATTTACAACTGTTTCCAACTAAACTTTTTTGGCTCTCATTCCATTTATCATCAGTGGCACGATTTCAAGTGAAGTTTGTGCAAAAAGACTCGCTTTTCATTCAATGATGTGCACATAAAAAGGGAATCCCAAGAGTCTTATTTGCTACCACCTTGGTAGGCTTAGAGATCAGACCGCCATGCCCTCCAGCAGCCAAAATGGCCTCTTTGTCCAATGTCCGTCGCACCCCTGACCAGATCCCTGAAGTCTGTCTTGGTGTCACGTGCACTCAGCATGCTAGTTTTATTTATTTAAATATGTGAAGCTTCTCCTGCTGGCACCCCAGAATTGTGCCCCCATTAGTTTTGGGTGCCAAGTTTCATGTGGAACAGCAGAGGGCAATCTGTTGCACCTTGCCCAGGTCGGTCAGCAGCTGCTTGATGCAATGCTTGAGCTGTGGCAGCCTGGCCAGCGGCTCTGGGGGCTCCAGTTCCCCCGTATAGTCCAGCCAGCTCTCCAACACTGTTGGCAGAAGAGAGAGAAACAAGACCATGTGAGCTCCTAACAGGTGTACAAGAACATCAGCAACAGTTTCAGCCATTTATCCCATCTGACCAGTCACTGAGGGAGAAGGGACATTTTTGCAACACTAACTCAGCACATGCTTTATAAAGTATTACTTCTGGGATTAATGCTCAACTGCTTCAGAGCCATGCACTTCAATAAACCTTCCTGCAATTTTAAATTGTTCTATACCCATGTTCTTCAATACAGTTAACTGCTAGCCATATGCAGCTATCGAACACATGAAATGTGGCTAATGTAACTGAGAAAATGAATTTAAATTTTACTCCATTTTAATTGATTTAAATGACCACACATAGCTAGTGGCTACTGTATTACCACAGCTCTAGAGTTTAAAGAGGAGCTCTGGTGGTGCAGTGCCTAAGGCACTTGCCTGCTAACCAGAAGGCTGGCGGTTCAAACCCACCAGCCACTCCTCGGAAGGAAAATTGGGCAATCCTACTTCCGTAGTGATACTGCCTCAGAAACCCAAGGAGGGGTCGCTATGAGTCGGGGCTAACTCGACGGCAAACAACCAACAACAACAGAGTTTAAAGGGCTCTGAAGGTGCCACTCAACTACTCAACTGCCCACTCTTTATGAAGTGTTCCCATGGTAGAAATCAGAGAGCATGACATTTTAGCCTCCTGTCAAGAAAAATGAAAATCTAAAGGGACTTGAAAATGTCTGTTTTTATCACCATAAATTCTGATTTGCTTCAAATTAAATTCTAATCAATAAATAGTCAGCAGTGTCACAGAATACTGACTTTATTTTCTCTACATATTTACTGTAGATTATAAATGGTTCAGTATCTAACAACCTAAAGATATGGTATTTGAGGAGAGCCCATTTGGGCACTGTTTAAGTTTTACAAGAGCCAGTCCCTCAAGGTAGGCCCTCTGCCTGTTCATAGCCTTTCTAGTCCTTGCACCAACCTGTACTGAGCACCTTCTGGACCCTGGAGCCGGGGATGCAGACCCAACTAGTGCCTGTTCCAGAAGCAGCTTGTAGCCTCACACACAACCTTCTCTCTTCTCACATCCCACCTTACACCCTTCTAAATCCTTTGTTTCCTGCAAGTTACTTCTCAGGGAAGCCGCCTCCAACTCCTCACCCTAACTCTGCCCCCTGTGTTATGGGTACTATGGCATCACAGGTTCTTTTGCAGCACTCACCAGGGCAGAGGCTAAGAGGGCCTTGCTCACCATTGCATCTCACACTCATTTGTGCCTGGAACATAGTAGGCAGTCAACAGATGCAGTGAGAAAATGAATCAATGGGATATAGCAAAATGCCCCAGAGAGTGCTATAGGCGCCACAGAGCTCACCTCTTCCCTCTACCATATTTTTTGTTGGTCCTCTGGGGGCTCCAGAGAGGAGGAACATTCCCTCCTCCAGATCCCCTCAAGTACAAGGACTCGGAAGTAAGAAAAGTATGACTGCTTTCTCAGATCTAAACTTGAAAACCAAAAGTAAAGGATCAAGGTCACATAATACTAGTGGCCTACTAAGCCAGAAAAACACCACAGTGACCAGGTACAATATAATACTAATCTTTAAAAGAAAATTAGGAGAACTACGCAATAAAGAGGAGCTCTGGTAGCATAGTGCCTAAGGCACTTGACTGCTAACCAGAAGGCTGGCGGTTCATACCCACCAGCCACTCCTCGGAAGGAAGGTTGGACAATCCTACTTCTGTAGTGATACTGCCTTGGAAACCCAAGGAGGGGTCGCTATGAGTCCGGGCCGACTCAACGGTAAATAACAACAACAACAACAACTCAATAAAGACCTGCGGTCATTGGAGTTAGCTTGGAGAAGAGGCAGTCAGTACTAACTGGGTAGATTCCAGCAGAGAGTAAGTCAGTCAGTTCTTGCAAGATTATCCTGTAATTGCCGAGATGCCCTCTTTAAATCACTATAACTCCCTCAGATCTGATTCCAGGCTCACCAAAGGATATCCCAATACTTTGGTAGCCACCAAAGAAAGAGCAGAGATGTACAGACTAGGGGAGCTCTGGTGGCGTAGTGCCTAAGGCATTTGACTGCTAACCAGAGGCTGGTGGTTCAAACCCACTAGCCACTCCTTGGAAGGAAGACTGGGTGATCTACTTCTGTGGAGATACTGCCTTGGAAACCCAAGGAGGGGTAACTATGAGTCTGGTGCAGACTAGAAGCAGCTAGGCCACTGAAGCGGCTAGTCTCTGAGCTTGGTTAATAGGAAAGTTGGGAGCCCCTGAGATGGAAACCTTCTCTCTAGGTCTAGGGCTGAAGATGAGCCCCAGAAATGTGGCCAATAGCATCTCCTGTAGACCTAAACATCTAGCAGGCCAGCCTTCTCTCTGCTCCACTGTGCTGTACAGCTTCTTAGCGGTACGATTACCAGGAAAATGGAAGGTTAAAAGGAAAAGTTTCATTTCAAATACACCCTTCCCAGATCATCTGTATGAGAGACCATTGTTCACTTGTTGTTGTTAGGTGCCATTAAAATGATTCCAACTGATAGCAACCCTACGTACAACAGAATGAAACACTATTCTGTTCTGTTCCATCTTCACAATCCTTGCTATGCTTGAGCCCATCGTTGCAGTCACTTTGTCAACCCATCTCGTTGAGGGTCTTACCCTTTTTCTCTGGCCCTCAACTTTACCAAGCATGTTATCCTTCTCCAGGAACTGCTCCCTTCTGACCACATGACCAAAGTAAGTTCTAAGGAGTATTTGGCTGCACTTCTTCCAAGATCGTTTATTCATTCTTCATGCTACTTTCAGTATTCTTTGCCATGACAATTCAAAGGCATCAATTTTTCTTCGGTCCTCCTTATTCATTGTCCAGTTTTCACATGCATATGAGGTGATTAAAAATACCATAGCTTGGGTCAGGCACACCTTAGTCTTCAAAGCAACATCTTTGCTCTTCAACACTTTATAGAGGTTTTTTGCAGCAGATTTGCTCAGTGCAGTATGTCTGATTTCTTGACTGCTGCCTCCCTGAGTGTTGATTGTGGATCCAAGTAAAATGAAATCTTTGACTACTTCAATCTTTTCTCCACTTATCATGATGTTGTTTATTAATCCAGTTGTAAGAATTTATTTTGAGGTGTTACCCATATTGAACACTGTAGTCTTTAATCTTCATCAGTAAGTGCTTCAAGTCATCTTCCCTTTCAGCAAGCAAGGCTGTTAATGAGCACAATTAAGTGTTCTGGAATTCCCATTCTTCTCAATGTTATCTATAATTTATTATGAGCCACACAATCAAATGCCTTCGCATAGTCAACAAAACACAGGTAAACATCTTCCTAGTATTCTTTGCTTTCAGCCACGATCCATCTAACATCAGCAATGATATTCCTTGTTCCACATCCTCTTCTGAATCCAGTTTGCATTTCTGGAAGTTCCATGTCAATATATTGCTGCAACTATTTTTAAATTATCTTCAGCAAAATTTTACTTACATGTGATATTAATGATATTGTTCAATAATTTCCACATTCTCTTGCATCACCTTTCTTTGGAATGGGCACCAATATGGATCTCTTCAAGTTGATTGACCAAGTAGTTGTCTTCCAAATTTCTTGATTTAAGCAAGTAAGCGCCTCCAGAGCTGCATCCATTTGTTGAAAAAACTCAATGGGTATTCCACTGATTACTGGAGCCTTGTTTTTCGCCAGTTCCTTCAACAAAGCTTGGACTTCTTTCAACATCATATGCCACCGGCATCATTAAATATTTTGCCCACAGAATCCTTCACTATTGCAATTTAAGGCTTGAATTTTTTCCTCAGTTCTTTCAGCTTGAGAAATGTCAAGGATGTTCTTTCCTTTTGGCTTTCTATTCCAGGGCTTTACACATTTCATTATGATACTTTGTCTTTTCGAGCCACCCTTTGAAATCTTCTGTTCAGCTCTTTAATTTCAACATTTCTTCCATTCACTTCAGCCACTCTCTATTCAAAGGCAAGCTTCAGTGTCTCTTCTGACATCCATTTTGGTCTTTTCTTCCTTTCTTGTCTTTTTAATGACCTTTTGATTTCTTCATATATATTCTTGATGTCATCCCACAATTCATTTGGTCTTCAGTCACTGGTGTTCAATGTGTCAAATCTCTTCAGATATTCTCTAAATTCAGGTGGGATATACTTATACTTAAGGTTATATTTTGGCTCTCATGGACTTGTTTTAATTTTCTTCAGCTTGAACTTGAAGTTACATATAAGCAATTGATCATCTCTTCCACAGTCAGCTCCTGGCCTTGTTTTCACTGATGACATGGAGCTTCTCCATTGCCTCTTTCCACCAATGTAGTCAATATAATTTCTGTGTATTCCACCTGGCAAGGTCCACGTGTATAGTCACCATATATGTGGCTGGAAAAAAGTGTTTACAATTAATAAGTCATTGGTCTTACAAAATTCTGTCATGTGGTCTCCAGCATCATTTCTATCATCATTTCTAAAAAGGCCATATTTTGCAACTACGAATGCTTCTTCGTTTCCAACTTTTGCATTCCAATCACCAGTAATTATCAATACATCTTGATTGCATGTTTGGTGAATTTCAGACTGCTGAAGTTGGTAAAAATCTTCAATTTCTTCATCTTTTGCTTTGGTGGTTGGTTTGTAAACTGGAATACTAGTATTAACTGTAGGCATATGGTTATTATCCTATCAATGATAGCACTGTACTTCAGGATAGATCTTGAAATGTTCTTTTGGATGATGAATACGACACCATCCCTCTTCAATTTGTCCTTCCCAGCATAGTAAATCATGGTTGTCTGATTCAAAATGGCCACTACCAGTCCATTTCAGCTTATTAATGCCTGGGAAATCGATGTTTATGTGTTCCATTACATTTTTGACTAGCTTCATATTTTCCTAGATTCATACTTCATACATTCCACATTCTGATTATTAATGAATGTTTGCAGCTGTTTCTTCTCCTTTTGAGGCTTGCCCCATCAGCAAATTGAAGGTCCCAAAAGCTTTACTTCATCATTCATCATTAAGGTCTATTCTACCTTGGGTAGGTGCCTTCCACCAACCTGAGGGGCTCATCTTCTAGCACTTTATCAGACAGTGTTTCACAGCTCTTCATAAAGTTTTCCAATAATATATCAGTGTTTCACTGCTCTTCATAAGGTTTTTAGTGGCCTATTCTTTGAGAAGTGGATGGCTCCATCTTTCTTCCAAGTCTGTCTTAGTCTGGAAGCTCTACTGAAACTTGTCCAGCACGAATAACCCTGCTAGTATCTGAAATACCAGTGGCATAGTCTCCAGCCTCACAGCAACCCACAGGCCACCACAGGACAAACTGACAGATGAGTGGTGGATTATTCACTTAAGGCAGTATTTTTTTAAGAAGAATACTATCAATGCTAAAACATTCCATTTTGTTTTTCTCTTCATGGTCATCAAAAATTCTGTCTTTTAGTTTTAACATACTGCTCACATAACTGTATAAATTATTAAATAATGGTTACTATTAAAATGATGACATTTAAAAAAGTATATATGTCGATATAATAACTTCCTAATAAGCCTTTCTTAAAGGTACACTGCATCCAAATTATGAAAGCTCAGTTTATCTTGATGGTATTTAGAATTGACTGCCTACTACAGTAGAAATAAAAAGGGATACTAATGAATCACAGGGAGCTCTGGTAGCATAGTGGCTAAGGCACTTGACTGCTAACCAGAAGGCTGGTGGTTCAAACCCACCAGCCACTCCTCGGAAGGAAGATGAGGCAATCTACTGCCGTAGTGATACTGCCTCGGAAACAGAAGGAGGGGTCGCTATGAGTCGGGTCCGACCGAATGGCAAACAACAACAATGAATCACAATTAAATATAATGCAAAATTCTTATTTGCCTAAATAAAATCTTTATAATTAATTTTTAAAACACTTTTTATTGTGATTTGGATGAAATTTTACAAAGCAGATTCATTTTACATTCAACAGTTCATACATATTTTATTTTGTGACACTCATTATAATCTCTGAAGTATAACAGCTCTCCTCCCCCTTCCTCCCTGTGGTCACCCTTTCTCTGTGTCCTTCTTTCCTATGCATTCCTGCCTCCCTACCTTTCTCCCTGTGCAAATGCTGCCCTTCTGATCTCCCATGGTTGATGGTTCTAAGGATGCATCTCCCTGGTGCAGGTGTTCAGCCCATAGGCTGTTAACAGGTTTTCATGATTACTTGGTATCTATCAAGCCGAGAGTATTAAAACACAAACAGAGTATGTGTCCCAAAACCAGCAGGACACATAAGAGGTCTTCCTGTAGGCCAGCAAAGGGAGCCCAAACTTATCATCCTTGCCACACTGCCCACTCAGTAAGGCCAGAGCTGGAGAGGCCCAAGCTGGGTGAAGGAATGATAAAGAGGTGAGTGTGATATATGCAGGCCCTGGCTTCTCCCTAAGGGCAGGTTCTTCTGGCAACAGTGGAGAGTTCTCACCCTGTTTCCAAGGTGCTAAGCCTCCTTTCAGGGACCTGGATCCTCTCTTACTGCTATTCTCTCAAAATCTATACTCTTCAGTCTGGCATTTGATCTTCTCTTGGTTCTCTAATATCAGGATTTTCACAGACAGTGATACCAGGAACAATACTAAGGAGCCCAAGAAAACCCTTCTAGGAATGAAAGAGAGATGGGAACAATCCCCCTTCCAGCAATGCTCATCATGGACCCTCTTGGTCACCCATTCCCAGTTCCTCAGGTTTGCCTAGGGCAGGACATGAGCATGTGTAGGGCTCTCCCTCTCTCTCATTGTCACTTTCCTCCAACATGTTTTTTCTAGTTGAGCCAATCCCATTATCATCCACCCTGAGTTCTCCTCTCCAGCAGAAAGCATCAATTCGCTTTTCAAGGCTCAACTTCAGTCCCAGGTGTTCCAGGAAGCCTGCCAGTTACTGCTTCCCCTAATAGCAACAGATCTCCTCCCCTGGCATGGCCTCAGCAAACACTCATCCTAGCCACACCTAATGATCCTTGCTTATGTAACATACAGCATTCTTCTCTGAGTTATTTCATGTAGATGTGTCTATATCCCTGATTACAGGAAAAACAAACAAACTTGACTCTACCCAGAATCCTTGAACAGGACATTTTGATATGGCTCCATTTTTAAGATGAAAACAAATAAAACAGGAAATAAGTGAAAAATCAAGAAGGAATTTGGTCCTCAATAATAAAAAAACCAGCAACGTCCTGGGGCGTCAAAAAGACTGAACTTGATCATGTTCATCATCACAAATTTGGGCCTTCAGAACCAGCCATGACCACTAACATCTGGGAGAAATGGCCAGGGGCCACATACATGACTTAGTCAAGTCCTTAAATCTCTTCTGCTAAGGAGGAAAAGGCTCCATTTTAGATTTTATCAAAGGCTGAAATAAAAGGTTTTTCAGAGTAATCCTAAAAACTCAATGCAGTAACAATTCCAATTCTCCACAGAATTTTGTTGGTAAGGATTATGCTCAGATTACAAGCTGCCTGCAGGCAGAGTCCAGTTACTCTTTTTCTACATACCCCCCTTCGCAGATAGGTTTGGGCGAGAAAGACAAAATCCCTGACATCCTGTCTTCCTTGTACGTGTCTAATACAAGCTAAAAGTAAGGCTTGCTCATCTTGAGGGGAGAATGGAGGTAGGGCGATGCTAAAAAGAAGAGGTAAAAATACAGCTGTCTCTGGAGCAGACAGGGGGAGTTCAGAAAGCAGCTCATTTGGGCAGGTTCAGAGAGCATACCATTGGGCAGGGAGCCAAGGAAGAAGACCTACCATCCAGCTCTTTCTCAATGGAGTCCATCCTATGGGTGACTTCGTCCTGAAGAGACTCTACATGGGTCAGCAGGTTAAACTGCCACTGGTGCTGGGAGCTCAGCAGCCCTTCTCCACCTCTGTCCAGCAGCTTCCGAGCAGGGGCTTCTTCTGGTGAGATCTTTTTGGACACATATTCCCTTACCTGGGGATGCAGGGGCATTTAAGTTACGGAGTGGAAGACAGATCACAGTCCCTTCTCCAACCAATCAGTGTTCACAACCAAAAAGCCAGTTGCTATTTAAATACTCCAAATCCATATCTCCCTCCCTTTCCTCCTTCTCTCTTAGGCCTTGTGCTGTACCAATCCCAAACACTTCAGCACATCACAGACCCCTGGATAGTGTCCCCACAGCTGTTTCCTGACAGGCTCAATGCCCTAGGCCAGAAGTAAGCCCCACAGAAGAGCTTCCAGAGCCCTAAGATCTGACTAGAGCAAGACGAGTATGTTGTTATGTGCCGTCAAGTTGTCTCCAACTCACAGCAGCCCCTCCTTGGGTTTCTGTGGCAATATCACTATGAAAGTAGATTGCCCAGTCTTCCTTCCGAGGAGTGGCTGGTGGGTTTGAACCGCCAACCTTCTGGTTAGCAGTCAAATGCCTTAGGCACTATGCCACAAGAGCTCCCAAAGACTAGTATAGACAAGGATTAGTATGTGAGAGATCAGTATGTGAGAGTCACTAAACTAAACTAGATTTCAGTCCCAGTTCTGTCTCTTGCTGAAGAGATGATCCTGGATTAGCTATTCCATCTCTCTGAGCCTGCTACCTCACTGGAAAGATGGAGGAAGTAAAACCTACTTTGAATGTTCATGAGGATAAAATAGGGTAAGATATATAAAAGCACAGTGCCAGGCTTACTGTCTATCAAGTCATCATCAATGAAAGAGATTTTTAACCGTGGTTGCCCTGCTTGGGCCCAGTATTTTCTGATTTTTGGTTACATGACAGATGCCTCTAAGAAATCTGGTCCAATTCACAGGCTGCCTAAGGCACAGGGCCACAAACTTTGTCTGAATTTTGTAATTCCAACCTTTCATTCATTCATCTGAAGTGACAACAGATTCTAGACAGTATTTGTTTAGGGCTTCCTATGTGCAAAACAATGTGCTGAGAGTACTTCACAATTAAGTTCCTGACATCTGGCAATCCTACTTCTGTAGTGATACTGCCTCGGAAACCCAAGGAGGGGTCGCTATGAGTCGGGGCCGACTCGATGGCACACAACAACAACAACAACAACATCTGAGATGGAATTGTCATTGGCCTCATACACAGATGAAGAAACAAGTCTGAGGAGGTGAAGTGACCTTCTCAGAATCAAAAAGTTAAGTGGCAGAGTCCAGAACTGAAACTAGTCTTAGAAAACTGTGTCTCTACCACTCTTGCCCAACGTGTGTAAGATGCTGGTGAGGTGACACCAAGATGAATGAGGCACAATGCCTACCCTTGAGGGGTTTATAATCTAGGGTGCATCTTCTACAATATAGGGGCAATATGCAGCAATGTATTTAATGTCCAGGAGTTTTAGTGGCAGAGTGGTTAAAAGCAATTAGGCTGCTAATCAAAAGATCAGTCACTCCATAGGAGAAAAATGAGGCAGTCTGTTTCTGAAAAGACTTATAGTTTTGGAAACCCACACCAAAAAACCAAACTCACTGTTGTCGAGTTGGTTTCGACTCATAGCGGCCCCTCCTTGGGTTTTCAAAGTAGTATCTCTATGGAAGTAGATTGCCCAGTCTTCCTTCTGAGGAGTGGCTAGTGGGTTTGAATCGCCAGCCTTCCAGTTAGCAGTCAAATGCCTTAGGCACTATGCCACCAGAGCTCCTTGGAAACCCAGTGAGGCAGTTTTCCTTTGTCCTATAGGGTCCTATGAGTTGGAATCAACTTGATGGCAGTGGATTTGATTTTTGGTTTATTTAATCCTGGTGATACCAACTCATAGGATAAAGTCTGTGAAATTTAAAGCTATGAGGATGACAAGGACAGAGAAGGTCTCAAATCACACATAGGACAGGGCAGAAGGAGACTAGTGAACACCAAGGAGGACGGCACAAAGGGCTTCAGAAGAGAATGACTTAAATAACATGAAACTGAAAGTAGGTCTTAAGAAAACTGATTAAGCCAATACATATTTTGACAAAAGATTTGAACCCTTTTGGCAGGGCTGCAAAGTTAAAATTCAAAGTAAAGCTATCATACATTTTCACTGAAAAATTCATGCCTACCAAATACCTGAGTGGTTTTTGCTCATGCTAAAAATCAGCACCTACGTGCAACTATATAATAAGCTGCATTAAAGAAAAAACTCAATTTCCTAAGTTAGTTTCATTTTTCAAGTTCCGATCTTTTCCCCTTGCCACTTCTGACCTTTCTACCTCATCCCACCCATTGATTATGCTATTTCATAGGCACTTCTGGAAATAAATGATCTGCAGCCCAAGTTGCTCTTCTGACTCTGCACCCATTTTAACAGACCAAAAAAAAAAATCTATAATACAAAAATTTAAATAAATTTTACAGTAAAGTCATGTCTTTCAGAGAACATTCAGCCCCATGAGGAAAACCTACAATTACTCAAACACTGAATTAAGACAAGTGCAAGCAAATAAATAAATAAATAAATAAATAATCAAGTGCAAGTGAGCCACATACCTTTGGGGAGCTGGTTTTGACATCACTGTCCCCCCTGTTCCTGTCTTGGTCTAGAGGCCAGCCCAAGCGTGGGGAGAGGGAATCATCACCGTTCTCATGGAGAGGGTTGACGGCATCATCAAGCGCAGAGCCCCGGGTCTCCACCACCAGCTTCTGCTCCACAGCAGGGTAATAAGCACGGGGCTTCTGGTAGCAGTGCTCACTGGTGATATAGGACTCCTCCACAGACCGGGACAGGGGCAGGGGCAGGGGCTTCTCCAATGCCCCATTCAAAGTTCTATAGCTTGGAATCTCCTTGCTCTTGGCTTCAGCAACATGGATGTGTTTGGAATGAGACTGTCCCTCCCCTGAGCGCTGTTTCCAAGGCTGACACCACAGCTGCAGATCAGGATGCTCCCTGCTTCTGTTGGGACAGCAAACAGGGAAAGGGCTTTGGAGTAACTGGGACCACCGGAGGGGCTTCTGAATTCCCAAACTTTCTTCCAAGAAGGAGCACAGCTTCCATCTGGGCCGTGTAGCCGAAATTCAAGCAAAAGGCACTGTATTTGCCAAGGAACAGGGACTACAAGTCCTTGGTCTCCTAAGAGACCACTTCCGGGCAAGCTCCCACTGCGTACATGTAGCAAGTGGGACCGCACTTGCAGTCATAAAACTTTATCTGTGTTTCACTTCAACCCCTAATTAATCCATGCAGCTGTGATGAATCACTCAACATGCCTCATTCCAGTGTTCTCATCTATAAAACTGGGCTAATCATCTGTCTGCCATCAACCACTGAGTTTTATAACAATTAATTTGAATGGAAGTGCTTTGTTGATGGTAAAGTGCTGTTCAAATGCGGCTTACTAAAAATAACCTTAACTAATTAATCAAACAGTCCCAATAATCCTGGCATGCAACAGCACTTGGTTATAAAAAAGGCAATGATGATCCAGATAATAGGGGTGTCATCTATGTAGGCCATTAGTAACAAAGTGGTTTAAAATTCTTCTAACATCTCCCATCTCATCATTCCAAAGAGAAAAGTTCATTACCGAAAAACAGGGATTCCTACCATTTTTTGGGCCACAGACTCTTGAGAATTTGTTTAAAGTTCTGCATATTTGTATATGCACATAAAACTGTGTGACTTTCAAGTTTTCCAGAACAGTTTACTGTTTTGAGTTTTGACCTGAGAGGGTCATAAAATTAATTTGAGTAGATAAAAATAAATTATAAAAAAGGAATAAAGAGTGGAAAATATCTAAGCACATCATTCTAAATAAAGGTAGATGCTTTGTGAAACTTTAGGCTTAGGTTCTAGTCCTGGATCTGGCCACCAATTTCCTGGGGAACCATGGAACTACCCCACTCAGTGCCCCAGTTGCCTTATTTGGTAAAACAATAGGTTACAAAAGCCAACAGCCCTCACATAACAGCCACGTGTCTTTATCAGATCTTATGTGAACCTGGGTCATCTTGCATATAGAGTGTAGCCACAGATAGGAATTCACTCTCAATTTCACTCCCCAAATTTCTGATTACTAAAAGCAAGCAGTACAACTCCAAAAGGTGTAGAACTTTTCTGTGTGAACAAACCACCAAGAAATACACATTTATGGGGCAACCACTATGCTGGAGAGCCAACCTGCCAACAATATCCCTTCCAGCAGCAGTAATATGGAAATATTATTTTGTTTACCAATCAAGAATGTTTACCATGTAACTGAAAATTTTTAGCAAAGGTCTCAAGCTCACCCGTTCTCTCACTGGTTTTATGGCTTTCCAGTTTCTCAGATTCAGCCTGCCCCTACCATGCCAAATCAGATTCCTCCCCAAAGCAATAGATGCCACACTTACTGCAAGATGCTCATCTTGAGCTGCAGGCCATGCAGGACCTCGATCACTCTCTGCACATCACCAAGAAGCTGGTGGGTGGCCACGATCTTCTTGGCGTTCTGATGGGAGTAGTTCTCTTCCAGAAATGCCAGGCCATGCATGTGTCCCCTGCTCAACCATTCCTTGTCATACCAATACTTGAAACCCGGCCTCTGACCTGAAGCAGTGACAAGGAGAGGTTTAAAACATGGCCTGAAGGTAACCTAGGACATTTTATCATTATCACACAATTACCACAAAGACTACAGGAAGGTTGGATTGGTGAGTTCACTTATTCATTTGCTTAGCATCCATTATATGCTGGTCTCTGTTGCAGGTGTTAAGGATAAGGTTGTGAATAAGGTACATAAATATCCAGATCTCCTGGAACTGACCAAAGGTAGGATGGGAACCTGGATAGCTCTTTAAATTTAAATTGTATCATGTTCTTTCCAATTAAAGCCTTCCGTTGCTTCCTATTGCTCACAGAAGAAAAACCCAAAGCTCTAACTCTAGCCTAATGAGGCCTAAATGACCCAGATCCTTCTTGCCCTCCTCTTCCCAGCAACACAGTGGCTTCCTCTCAGCTTCTCGGATATATAAACCTCCTTCTGGCCTTAGGATCTTTGCTGTAGAATCCTCTCTGTTTAGAGCACTATTCCCTAAGACCTTTGCAGTACTGGCTCCTTACCACCATTTCAGAGAAGTCTTTTTACCTCCCAAAGTAATAGCATCTTAATCATTCCCTATCTGATCTCTTTCCCTCCTCACAACATTGGCCACTATCCTAACGTAGTTCCTCATGAGTACATGAGTTCCTGTTGATTTATTTTCATATTGGTTTCTTATCCCCACCCCACTAAAAGCCAGAAGAGTAGGAATCATCTTGTTCACGGTTGCATCCCTAGTACCTGGCAAAATGAATTCTTGAATGGATTTATGACATTAACAGAAAAAACACCCATGCCCTGCCTCCCCAACTATACCACCTAACAAAATAGATGGTCAGGCCCCTTCCCTTCTCTGGGCCTCTGTCTCATATCTGTTATACAGTAACAAATGAACTACACGGCTTCAATGGTCTTGTTCATTGCAGGTTTCCTTAGAGGGACTGAAAACACAACCATGTGTGAATCAACAGTGTTTTCTGCTCTGGAAGCCCAGGGAACAGCTTTCAACCAGAATGTTAACTTTCCAGTAGCTATACATCTACAAAAACTCTGAAAAGTAATCCCCATCAAGGTCTTTGGATTATTTCTGGCTGCACTAACATGTAGCAAGGTGCACCTCAAGTCTGTTAAAAACATTCTTAAATAATCTTTAAAGAACAAATTTGTTTGGTTAAACTTTTGGCCCAATACTGCAAAGTCAAGCACATTATAAATGCAGACCCTGTGACATTCAGTGCTCAATTCTAGAAGTCTATTCACATTAATGATTAATGTTATAAAAGTTAAGAATGTGCAAAGGACTTGATGAAGACAGGGTGTGTAATTTCTAAAGAGGAAAAAGTGGAGGTAAAGAATGAGAGACAATAAGGCAGACAAAAGAATTTTTAACAAGAGTCCTACAGAGCCCTCAGGGTTACCTGGAAGAGTCTTATAGGTAGCTGCTGTAGGCAGTGGGTGAACAGCAGCATTCAGAATAGCATGGCCTATTTTTCAAGACAAAGGTCAGGCACCCATGTTCTCATCTAGGGTCTGGTGCTAACTGGCTGAATGATCTCTAACCAGTCATGTCTCAACTGTGCCATGTTCGTTAGCCTGACCAATGTCAGGACTGAAGTAAGTGGTCTCTGAGGTTCTGCCCCTCAATAATATTCCATGATTCAAGGATTAATCTTCTGACCATGTTCTTTCCTTGGGATAAAGAGACTAGCACAGGCAGATGCCTGTGTCTATTGACTCATCTAGTATAAGGAGACATAATGTCACAAGATAGGTCATCAGGGCCAGAAGGGAACTGCCTATTGGAAAATAAACAGTGGTTCCCTAAATAACTAGCAAAATCAAGAGACTTGGCCCCACAAATCAGTTCTAATTTTAATTTTCTTTATGAGATTAGACAAATCATATATATCCTCTGAGCACTGATTTCCCCTTCATAAGTCAAATGGGAGGAGGAACTCCTACCAGAACCACCTTGAAGGACCAAAAAGAGTAACAAAAGCAGAGGTGCTAAACATTGTCTGGCTGTAAGGCAACTGTGGGACTGGAGCTGAGAAAGGACCTTATAAGTGGTAAAAGAAGATGTCACCATCCTACTACAGTGAGACAAGAACCCAGAGATTTATAGTCTACCCCTCCTGACACTTCTGGAAAGGGGCACCCACGGCCTATAGGCTACCCATGTGGCCAGGGAACAATTACAGTAACCTAACCTGCTAAGGATTTACTCACTGCTCTGTTCTTTCTGGTGACAGGCTCATTGCATCACACCTTCTCTCTTTCCCTTAGGAGCTTATTTCCCTTTCAGGTAGCAGATGCCACCACAGGGAGCAAAGGCAGATTTTTCCAACACTCTCTACAGACTCAAAAAGGCAAGGACAGAGCCTGCATGACCATCTTCATGAGCTCTCAAGAAAAGAGAAAGTTTAGCTCAAAGCAAGGCCTTCAGCTAAGTGAACCTCGTAGTCTAAGTTCAAGATAGCTAGTCACCAGGCAGGTAAGCAACAAAGGTGAAAAGGAGGAGGAGTCCAAGCGATGCTGAAGAAATGAGTGTCAAGACCAGACACTTAGGATGCTTCATGGCCAGCTGTGCTAAAGAAAAAGCCACATACTGTTAATATCCCTGACTCCAGAAAACTCTACCTGGAGGGTCTTGGCAAACATAACAGGTGTATTTCTCAGGCACATTTTCTTCCAGTAATCCCATGCAGACCCCATGCTGCCAGCACTGGCACTCTTCACACTGTTAGAATCAAAGAAGCAACAAAAATTAAACTTAGAGGGTATCCTCCATCCAAAAGAAGTCTACCTGCAACAGGCAGGAAGAGGGGAGGGAAGAGCGCTCCCTACTGGCTTATACAGGAACTGAGCTTGCAACTCATCTGGAATTGCACTGTCCAATATGGTAGTCACTGGCAACAGGTGGCTATTTAAATGAACAAATTAAACTAAAAAGTTAGTTCCTCAACTTTAGGAGTCACATTTCAAGTGTTCAACAGCTATATGAAGCTAGTGATTACTGTACTGGACAGGGCAGATAAAGAATATTTAATTCTATTAAACAGTGTCAAACTAGAATACTTTCTAGAGACTTTATTTACTTTTGTGATCACTTTATTAGGACAGAGAGTAAGTTGTTTAAGTGTTTAGAAAAGGCTGACTTGGAGCTGCCAAACTTGAGTTTAAATGCTGGGTTGGATATTCATTAGCTTTGTCACTTTAAACAGGTCACTTCACCCTGGGCTGCAGTTTCCTCCTTTGCAAAAAAGATACTCCTCCTTCCAAACCCATGGGCTGCCTGTGAAGATTCAATGGTTATGTATAAAAGGTACCGGCACAGAGCTAGCATGCAATTTATATGTATTAAATGTAGTACTACTACTAGTAGTCAAATGAATTTGTTTGATGCTTCCTAGAGTAATCATATGCTAGCCTTTTCCAATTATTTTCTCTCAATCTTACCAAAAGTCACACAGCTGATGAGAGAAAAACATGGATCATAATATAATTCAAACCAAAACCAAACCCACTGCCATCAAGTCAATTCCAATGCATAATAACCCCATAGGGATTCCAAGGCTATAAATCTTTACAGAAGCAGACTGCTTCATGTTTTTCTTACATAATGGCTGATGGATTTGAATCACCAACCTTCTGGTAGCAGTTGAATGTCTTAACCACTATGTCACCAAAACATAAGCCTGACTAGTTCCAAAGTTAGTTCATTTAACTCCTAGGTTCCTCTGCCTGCAAATGTGTAGGAGGGGAAGGATGGCGTAGACAAGGAGGGCAGCAGGTGGGAAGACCTGTGGACAGCCTGAGGATAGTAAGCCTGGAAGCTAAGAATTCAGAGAAAGGAATGAGGAAGAAAGGCCTACTCCAGGGACACTTTAAAGCAAGTGATTCTAAACCAGAGCCCTAAATCTGTTAACTATCCAAACAGATGAGCCGTGCAAGATGGAGAGTGAGCTTCCTCACATAGTCTTGAGGGCAGGCCACCAGACTGCCCACAAGGAACTGAGAATCCAAAGGTCAGATGATCATCAGCCACTTGGAATCAGACTGTCCCATCATCAAGAGGGCTTCCATGCAAGGATATAAGCTCTCTAGGAAGTTAATCCCATCAGAATCAAGAGAGACAGACCAGGAAAAGAGACTTCAATTAAGATCTAATCCAGAAATTTCATGTTACAGATGAGGAAACTGAGGCACAGAAAGAGAAAGTAATGTGTGCAAGACAACAACAGCTGGTAGCACAAAATAGATCATTAAGAGTGAAGTCTGAGGGGGGATAAAAAAGGAAATCCTGTCTCACCAATGATTGTAAGTTTCTTGAGAACTAGGAACCACCACAATGAATCAAATGCAACTAAACTGCAAAATCCAAAATGTTAGGTGGCTAAACTACATTGTTTTTTAAAAAATTTAAATTGAGAAATGGTTATGAATTCTAACAGAATAAAATACCTAAGAATTGACCTAACAAATATGCAAGGTATTGATAAAACGTCAAAAGACTACTACAGGTACAGAAAGACTTCAGGCAATTGTAGAGTGTACCCTGTTCCTAGACAGCAAAAGCCAATACCCTAAGGATATCAATGTCTTGGGTTAATCTAAAAAATAATGTAATGCTAATAAAATGATAAAATAATAGCTTTGGAACTAGATAAGCTGGTTCTAAAATCAATTGCCAGGAAATTTGTGAAAAAGAAAAAGTAGTGAGGAGGTGTTAGCACTATTAGACATTTAAAAAATATTATCAAGACACAATAATTAAAACAGAATTGTACAATCAATTATAGACAAAGGGACCAATGGGAAAGAAGGGAATAAGGAAGACCCAAGAAGAACTGATGCCTCTTAATAATGGTATTGACCAAGGGTAAGAATAGACCATGGACTCCCAGAAGAACTGACAGATCCATCTCGGAAGAAGTACAACCAGACGCTGCATAGAAGGGAGGATGATGAGACTTCATCTCACACACCTTAGACATGTGATCAGAAGAGACTAGTCCTTGGAGAAGGGCATTATGCTTGATAAAGCAGAGGGTCAGTGAAAAAGAGGAAGACCCTCAATGAGATGAAATCACACAGTGGCTGCAATGAGGGTCTCAAATGTGGCAGCAATTGGGGATGACATAGGACCAGGCAGTGTTTCATTCTGTTGTACATGGGGTCACAATGAGTCAGAACCCACAGCAAATAACAAGTTAAAACCAACTCATTTGCACCTAACAACAACAACAACAACTTGAATTAATGTAAATTAATGTGAAAGGAGACCAGATTAACAATATGGGCTCATAGGATCTCCAGGTTTTGGGATTGCAGTTCAATTTCACTTTCTTCTTAATATTTTTATATTTCACCTGAAGTTTTTATAAAACATGTAAATGTTTTATCTTTCATCCTAAAAGTGTTATTCTTATTGAAAAACTATTTATAGTGAATAAGTTTATGTAAGCATGCCAAAATACTAACAGTGGCTATCTTTGGGTAAAAATAATCTGGGTAACTCCTGTTTTCTTCTTTGTGATCTTTTCCATTTTCCAAATGCTACAATTATGATGAAATTTTTTTAAGTTATTAAAAAATAAATTACAAAATGGCTATACTATTAAGACTATTTTTTCACTTATATGAAAACCAAAGATAAGTAAGTTTGATAATACCCTGTATTAAAAAGGGTGTGGGGAACAAGCTTTCTCATAATATTGCTGGGTTTGACTTTCTTTGGTACATCCTCTAGAGAAGGAGATAGCAGTATCTGTCAAAATTATAAATGTCCATACCCTTTAGCTCAGGAGCTCTGGTAGCATAGTGGCTAAAACACTTGCCTGCTAACCAGATGGCTGGCGGTTCAAACCCACCAGCCACTCCTCGGAAGGAAGGTTGGGCAATCCTACTTCCGTAGTGATACTGCCTCGGAAACCCAAGGAGGGGTCGCTATGAGTCGGGGCCGACTCGACGGCACATAACAACAACAACAATACCCTTTAGCTCAGTAGGCATACCCTACTGCCAAAATTTGACCCCACAGGTATACTTGCACAAATGTAAAAATTTATATGAAAAGTTATTCCTTGTATTACTGTTAAGATTAGAAACAGTCTTAATGTCCATTGGCAGGGAAAAGGTTAAATAAATGCTCATTCAGCCATTCTGCAGTCATGGAAAAGGATAGGGAAGTGTTTTTATGGTTGAAAATGGAGTGGTCTTCAATCTATATATATTATTAAATGAAAAAAGGAAGATGTGAAATACTACATATAAAATGTTAATATATAAAAAATAATATTGGGGAGAATGTATTTCTTACTGCTTGCTTAGCCATAGACTGTTTCTGGAAGGATGCACAAGAAACTGATAACAAGGGGTACCTCTAGGGAATGGGTAGTTGAGGAACAAAAGAAGAGGTGAAGCTTTTCCCTGTAGACCTTTGTGGACCTTCCGGATTGTAAACCATGTAAATCCATTAGCTAGCAACAAATATATACTATATACATACACATATATATTTTATTTATTTATTTATTTATAATGTGCATCCTGTTAAAAATGCCACACAATTTTTACTAGGAAAGGAAAAGTTTGGGTACCTTATATATATTTGTTGCTCTAGGGCCAGTTCTAGGCCAGCAAACAAACGGCCCATAGGTCAAATCCAGCTCAAAGTCTGTTTTTGCAAACAAGGCATTAGATGAACACAGTCATCTCATTTATTCATGTATTGTTTTGGGCTGCTTTCTCACTACTGCGGCAGAGTTGAAAAGTTGCAACGGAGACCATCTGACCCTTTAAGAAAAAAGAGCAGGCAAACCCTGTCCTAGGACAATTCAAATAATTTAAAATTCAAGTTTCCCTGATACTCATCTTTCTAGGTGGTATTCAGATAGCTGAAATACCCATGACCATTAAGTAGAACACTAACCTTCCAGTGATTTTAATAAGCACTGGTAAATAAAATCAAATAATAATATACTTGAGTTATATTGGTACCAAAATGATGAAAGAAAATTATTTTTTAAAACGTAATGCATGCAACTTGTAGAAAACAAATCTTAAATGTATTCTAGGGTTGTATAGAACACCCATTTAAGTTCAAAATTGTTTTAAGAAAAAATTATTTGCGCCTTCCTAACTAGGCAATGAATAAAACACAAAAAGCTTAAATTACACTTGTTCCAGTTAGCATCCTCTAAATCTCTGTCTTTTGGTAAAGATACTAAGTAGAAAAAGTATATTGTTCATTATGACAGAGACAGTCAGAAACCGTCCCTCCACAACACAGAGCCAGCTGGACACAATTATTTCAAGTAGACAAGTGCAGAAGTCTTCTAGAACAAAAAACAAGGTATTCCGAAGTGAGCTCATTACTGCAAAGCCAGAAGGGGAGCCGTAAATACTGAGCTGAGTTATGGGAAAGGGCACATCACATGCAGGCTGGGAAGGGAGAGACTGTAAGTTAGATCCTGACTTTGCCAAATAACAGCTGTTGTAACCCCAACAGCTTCACACCTGAGTTTCCTTATGTCAAGCCAAGCTCTACTCCCCTAACATCCTATGATCCTTGCTACTTATAAAAATGTCTATGGAGAAAGTATCACCATGGACTACAACAAGGTCTCTTACATTGATAATGCCTTGCAGGAAGGGCCCACTGAAGAGTTCTATGGACAAATGGCAGGTAAATCCAATCAGGCCACCAAAGCCCTGAACTGAGTTCATGCCTACAGA